TTAGACGACACAGTAGATTTGGAAGATTTAATTGATTTATCTGCCTATTATTCATTCATAAAAAAATATTATTAAATGAGAAAAAGTTAAAATGACAATTGCATTCATCATCTTTGATTTTTTTTTAATTGTTCATCATCATATCCAATTATGTTAGCTAATTGAACTATGCATTGATCTTTATCACTGTTTTCCAACGTAATATCTACAATAACTTCACCGTCACCAATAATTTCAACAATTTGAATCTTATAGTAAGGCTCATATAGTGTTGCATCTCGAAGTTGGATAGACTCTCCTGGCACTAATCTACTTTTTCTTTTATTTTTGGGTCCTTTTTTTTGAGGTAATTTAAGCTCATCTTTGCTGTGACTATTAGTATTCTTTTGATGAATATAAGACTCAAGAGAAGTATTTGAAGTTGATTCAGGTACAAATCTATAAGAAAGCAAAAAAAGGTATCAAAAGTAATTAATTTAATACATTTATTAATCTAAGTCTATTAATAAGCATAGCTCTATGCGTATCATTTGATTGCTCCTTAATGCAGTAACAATTATTTAATCTTATAAATTGTATATATTAGAACTAACTAGTACTGATTTATATATATATACTTAAACTTTTTATAATATTCATATTCACTATAAAAATAAAATAAATCTACCTTTGCGCTTTGTGATTACTATAAGAAATATTACTACATAAAAAAAAAAAATAATAACATAATTAAACATTTATATGAAAAAATTAACAGACAAATAATTCATACTTTTGTACTTCAAACTCATTAATTAAGAAACAAACATCCACAATGTCCTGGCAATCATGACCACGAATAACATTGAAACTACAAGGACAAGCAAATTTTCTATTTTTGCGAGTAACACATAATAACTTTCCATGCCGTTTAATAAAATAGTTATCATTTGTTTCAGGGGTCTTTATTTCTTGGCTCTCAGATAATCTTGAGCTTTCTTTACTAATATCATCGTCTAGTTCAGTAGCAGCATTTTTGACATCATTATCATCGTCTAGTTTAGCAGCAGCATGCTGGATATCATCATCGTCTAGTTTAGCAGCAGCATGCTGGACATCATCATCGTCTAGTTTAGCAGCAGCATTCTGGACATCATCATTGTCTAGTTCAGCAGCAGCATGTTGGAGATCATCATTTATATTGAACCAAAACATATTCCAAGAATTTTGACCAATTTCTAAAATTAAAGAGATTAAATAAAATTATTGTACCAGTAAATATAAAAGAATTTATATAATATAGTATATGCCTACCTTGAACACGATTTTTTTTGTATAATAATTTACCCTGTTTTATAATTTTTCCCTTTTCTCATTGCAATTTCGATTTTGTAGGAGGTTTACCATCTCCTTGCCAGAATCTATATGGAAAAGATTATTTGATATTTTACAAAAAAAAAAAAGGTGCATTTTAACTAACCTTTCTATCTCTCTAGCATCAACACATATCGACATTCCGATTTTCTCAAGATTAGTATGTAAAGATTTAGTGTATCTTCCCTGATAATAAATTAACATATCTTTCTTAAAGTAACTTTCTAATAGCATGTTTGTTTTCATAGAACAATTATCACACTTATAATCCGGCCAGGTATTTATTACAAAATGTGAAGTAAATCAGTTACTCTTTGTGAATTTTTAATACAGAAAAATTAAACACAAAACCAATCTATATAAAATTTCTTCATATTATTAAATTATTAATAAAATACTTGATATAATGAATTTTTGAGTTTATATTATAAAATTACTAATAAAACATATAAAAGACCAATTATAAAGTAAACTATATTTACTGACCAACCCAATCACCAAACTAATGTGTTCGAAAATAAGATGTAATAACTCTCGCAGTATCTAATTTTATTATTCCAATAGCAGCCTGAAGTTTCTCTGCATCTAAAATAGTAACTTTTCTTTTATCAAATTCTTTCTGATCTCGAGATCGCTTGACAAATCTGAATTGGTAAAATATTCGATCTCTAAGCCATTGATCATTCAGATTTTTCATAAACTATTCCTTGAGAGTATCAGCTAAAAGAGTGCAAAATTTAAATATTATAAGAATGCAATATTAAAAAAAAAAAAAAAAAATCAAAAATTCACCTTTGTGCCAGCCACATAAAATTGCTTGCGTATTTGGAAAGTATTTTTTAGCCGCTACAAGATATGGGTCCCATTTGTCTAAAGATAACCACTTAGGGTTCAGTTGAATATTATTCTTAGCACTATACTAAATTAACTAAGAATAGCTAGAGTTTAATATTACCTAGTAGAATCCAGGAAAATAACCAAAAATACTTACTGATTCGAACATCAGATCAATGACTGGTGTCGTTTCTCTGTCACTTATAAATATAGCTATAATTCGACCATGGGGTTTATCCGATTTGACTATAAAGGCCGTATTTGGAAAGTTTAAACAGTTACGGTGCCTAGTAGAATCTACTGCAAGAAGATCTGAATACTTGGCCAATAATGTTGGCATAATTGTAGATGCGATACCAAGAAGCACAACTTGTTCCTTGGGATCCTGCGTATTCTTAATGCCATATTGCAACACCTTCAGCTTCGTAAGTATCCATTAAAGAACTAACCTGTTAACCCAAACAAAAATAAATAAATAAATAAATAATAAATAAATAAAAACCATCAGATTATCACCTTTTCAAACTCTAAAGCACTTGGATAGTGTAACTTTTTGTCATACTTGAAGAGCATTTTGAATTGCCTCAAAATTAGGTGTAAATTGAGTAGAGATTGGTTGAACTTGATTTGCAGGTGTACTAGCAGTTACATTAGAAATCTTTGCATTGTTCATAAATTCTAAAAATATGCAAAATAGATAATGTAATAGTTGTTTTTTTCAAATTTAAAATAGCTTTTAAATTTACCTGTTGCCAACATTGATGGCGTTGTGTTTGTAGATCTACTTGCGATTTCTTTTCTGATTACTTTTGCCATTCGATATGGCTTTGTTCTAACATGTTCAGGATCATAATTTCCACAGCATTCGATATCACATAGATTAAGTGGTTTGTCTTTAAAAACTGCGATGTGGCCCTTCCAATTACATTTGCCCTTGTGGCAGCTATTCTAAAACAGTATTATTGGCATTTTGTGAGTTAGTTTAAAATAAACAAATCTATTTAACATATTATATACCTGAGCAGAATATTTAAGGTATTCTACATATGCTAGTGTCAAATTAGATAAACACTTTGCATTTTCATCAATAAGTGTAATACTCTTTATATCTCCTTCACGCAACTTTACATTTGAAAATAATAAGAATCTATCTTATACATAACTTGTAATAATCAAGTTCCTTCCTTACCCGACCATTATTTGTACAGTCTTGAGACAAAACTGTATAACCTTCACTAAGACTACCACCTCCAGATGATACTGTGTCAAATGTATATAGATCTATTACCGAAGGTACTTCAGTTAGTGGTACTTGTATACACCTAAGATTCGAAAATAACGAACGCCAAGCTATTTTGGACTTTACAGCGCTATCAGTTGGTAAAGATAATTCATTCATTGTTAGTGATAAGTAGCATAATGTTAACATCTTAAATTATTTATATTTTATCACCTTATTGTGTTTCATCTTATATCTTCTAATTAATGGGAGATATTTAGAGTTTAGTATTAATAATTAGTATTAAATAACACTTTAATACATCTAAGAACATCACCATAATCACCTCAAAAAAAAATAATAATAATCGAGATTCATAAGTCATCCAAAAAAGTAAATTAATAACATGGTTCCTTCTTTTATTCATATTTCGGTTCTCCACAAGATTCTATATAAACATTCTAACCATGTCACAAAATTCTACATAAACATGTCTAATCACGTTCTTCACAAGGTTTTATATACTTTAAAATATATTAAAGCAAGTACAAATAACAAAAAGTTTACAATAAAAAAAAAGAAAAGCAAATTTTACCTTATAAAAAAAGCGAATTTTACTGTTACTATTGTATAACAATGATAAAAAAAGGTATTAATGGTCTAAAATTTACCACTTGCGATTAATTCCATTCAAACAAACCTTACTTTTTCCCATTATAAATTGAATACTTTAAAGAATATATAATAGTAATATGCAAAGGTGTGACTATAGAGAGAAGGCTGTATTTTATTTAGTATCAACTCACCAATAATTACTAGACAACTTAGTTCGCAGAGAATTTAATTACAGGCAAGGTTATTACAGTCGATTAATTCACAGATAAG